GGAGCGAGGGCGGGGTGGTTCACAGGAAAGGGATTTCGGCGAAGCCACTTCATCATCGATCATGAACTAGAGAGCAGCCTCCCCGGTTCTCTCCATTTCATGATCGATGCCAAGGAGGCATTTGATTTCGAAAAGCTGAATTCTGGGTGCTGAACTCTGGGTACCCTTCTGCCGTCCGGTGGTGCTCCGTTTCCTAAACAGAGTGTAAAATGCTAGCAAACGACTGTCGCAAATTTCACGTGGGCGTCGAGGCGGGGGAGGGCCGAGTTGTGCACATAAAATGGCGGGAGAAGGTACTGTGTCTGGTTTGTAATGTTGAGAGAACTAATGTTTTGATCTGCATGTGCTCGTATTTGGATTTAATTCCACCTTTTCATTGTACTGCAAGTGCCACTGCACCGTATCGAGTCCATGGAATTTTAGTAGTGTGCATATGGACTGGGTGTGGATTGGTACTTCCTTTAGCCAATGGATTTCGACCAGTTCGCAGAATTACCAAGCATTACAGTGGTTCTGTGTAGCATTCGTTGTGGCGTGCGATTAATTTAATGAAATGATCCGGCCAATAGCGTGACCGCAATTGGTTGAAGGAAAACAAAAGAAAAGAAAAGAAAAGCGCCTGTTAGGACTGGCCCTGAGTGGCGATGTTGGGATCAGGGCTGTGCTGGGTGTTGGCTTGGTGGGGTTGTGATGACCCTGCTGGAATGCACGGGAAGGTGCTAGTAACGACTGCGGAAGAAATTGGTCAATGATTGCACGGGCATTTGTTGAGGCTCATCACGACGTGCATGCTGCATCTTGTTCCTCTGCCGGCGCTTTGGTCTTCGGAGAGAATTTCAACTCGATGAGTATAGCATAGAAGAAGACAGCAGGCCAAGGGCGTGAAGAGGTGTGTGCGTGGCGATATCGTTGGGTCCCCGCAGGGGTGTGGGAGGACAGGTCGGTATGAGTATGGCAGTGGATGCAAGGAGTGACAGAGACCGGAAGCGCAGACCGGAAGGTATTGAGAGACAAACAAGGCGTGCCGCTACTGCTGCGCGAGCGCGCTACGTCTGCTTCGCCAGGACCCACTTCTGCGCCGCGTGCCACCCGCGCGACGACGCCCGCGCGGGGTGTTTGCGGCGCGGGAGAGCGTGAGAAACGTGACGATAGTGGTGGCGGGGAAGGATGAACGCTCCTCCACGCGGACTTGGCTCGGCGCGCGAAGCGCGCACGCGCACGGAGCCTACTTGTCTTTGGCTGAAAATGTAAATGTCAATCGTGGTGCAGGCGTATGCTCTCTATTATCGCTCCTCGAGTGGAAGGGGCGAACAAGTGTTGGCCGAGTGTGTTCTGTAAATCACTGGTCAAAATACAGGGCATGGGCCCTTTGAGCGCCCTTTGAGCGCCCTTTGAGCGACGCAAGCGCAGTTTCAGAAGACCTGTTGATGTCAGCTACCGCTGCAACAATACATTTATACAGCAATCAATCCCACCATTTGCGATCTACGTACACTGCTGGCTTCCTCCTATTTCATTGGTTCAAAATATGAATCTAGTACGGTTTCCACCAAGTGGTTACATAACCACTTGGTGGTTCAAAACATGAAAGACTACAAGTTTTTTCTCGGATGGCAACTCCACCTCTATCGCCGTCGCCTTCGCGGGGCGCCGCGGTTGCGCCAGCGCCGGGGCGCCAGCGCCAGCGCCAGCGCCTGCGATTCCGCCCCAAGCATCGAACAAGCCCCCCGAGCCCGATCGCGCCTGCCCGCCCGCCAAAACGCTGCTCCACGCCCCTCCACGCCCCTCCACGCCCCTCCACGCCCCTCCACGCGCCGTCTCCCACCATCTGCACCGATGCGCACGCCCCTTCCCCATCCCATTTCAGCACCCACGCCGTCTCGCCTGCGCCCCCACTCGCGGCGGCTCCCCTGCGCTCTGACTCGCAGCGCCCCTCCTCGCTCCTGGGCCTCCATTGCGGCCCCGTCGTTGTCTCCCGCGCCTGGCCCGTG